GACAGGAACGGGGGAAAAACAAACGGCGATGGGGAGATAACGAGGACGGGGAGAAAATGGGGATGGAGAGATATCAGGGATGGAGAAATGTCAGGGACGGGGAGAAAACGGGGGATGCAGCGCAAAAGGGGCACCGAGGCCTGAGGGGATCCGGACCCCCCCCCCCCCGACCCGCCGGGACCGCGTTACCCCCCCCTCCATCCCCAGGGCCAGCTCCCCTCCCTCCCCGCCCGTTTTTTCCCCGGTATTTTCCCGTTTTTTCCATTTTTTTCCCCCATTTTTTAACCATTCTTTCCGCTTTCTCCCGGCGCTCCCTCCCGCGCGCTGTTTGAACCGGGCGGGGCCGCTCCGCGCGTGCGCAGCCCCGCCCCTCTCTCCTCATTGGTTCCGCCCACCCCCCCCTCCGCTCGCCCCGCGATGGTTTCGCCCGCCCCGTGTGTCACCGCCTCCGAGTCCCCGCCCGCCCCGCGGCCCCGGCGCTTTGGTTCCGGGCGGCGCGGAGCCTCTCCGGTGATGGCGGCGGCGGCGGCGGCGGGTGGGGCGAGCCGCGGGCTCTGGGGGCGCCTGGGGGACACCCGGCTCGGTGAGAGGCGCCCGGAGGCTCTCAGGGTGACGGGAATTTGATGGGGGGGCCGGACCCTTGCGGGGCCGGTGCCGGGGGAGTTCCGGTGGGGGCGGGAGGGGCGATTCGGGCTCCCGGGAGGGGCTGGGGGGGGTTCCCGTAACCCAGCGGGGGTCTCGGGGGGTCCCCAACCCCTCCCATTGTCCCCCCTGGCCCCGACTTCGCTGTGACCCCCCTGAGCACCCCTGACCCCTTTGACCCCTGAACCCCCCCCCGAGCCCTCTGACCCCCCGTGACCCCCGTGACCCCCGTGACCCCTCCTGACCCCCCCGTGACCCCCTCTGAGCTCCCGGTGGCGCCCCCGGTTCCCTCCTGAGCCCCCGTTCACCCCATAACCCCCGTTCCCCCCCGGTTCCCTCCCGATCCCCGTTCCCCGTTCTTCCCGGCTCCTCGTTCCCCCCGGTTTCCCCGGTTCCCGTTCCTCCGGTAATCCCCCGGTTCCCGTTCCCAGTTCCCGTTATCCCGCAGCTCTGTGGCTCCGCGCTCTGTCCCGTTCCCGTTCCCGTTAACCTCCGTTAACCCCCGTTATCCCCCGTTAACCCCGTTATCCCCGTTAACCCCCGTTAATTCCCCGTTATCCCCGCAGCTCTGTGGCTCTGCGCTCTCTCTCTATTCCCCGTTAACCCCGTTAACCCCGTTAACCCCGTTATCCCCGTTATCCCGCAGCTCTGTGGCTCCGCGCTCTCTCCCGTTAACCCCCGTTATCCCCGTTAACCCCGTTAATCCCCGTTATCCCGCAGCTCTGTGGCTCCGCGCTCTCTCCCATTTCAATTCCCGTTCCCCGTTATCCCCGTTATCCCCGTTATCCCCGTTAACCCCGTTATCCCCCGTTATCCCGCAGCTCTGTGGCTCCGCGCTCTCTCCCATTTCAATTCCCGTTCCCCGTTATCCCCGTTATCCCCGTTATCCCCGTTAACCCCCCGTTATCCCCGTTAATCCCCGTTAACCCCCGTTATCCCCGTTATCCCCCGTTAATCCCCGTTATATCCCGCAGCTCTGTGGCTCCGCGCCCTCCTCCGCGATTACTCCTCGTCGCTGCGCGAAGCCGCCTCCTCCGCCCGCCGCCGCCCCGGTGTCACGGCCCGCCTCCCTGGCCGCTCTGGCTCTCGCTACCGGCCTGGCCCGCTCGGTACCGGACCGGAGCTCCCTGGAGGGCGCGGCCGTGGCGGCGGGGGCGCTCCTGGGGCAGCTCCCGCCGGGCTCCCGCAGCCCCCGGGCCGAGCGCCACGTGCAGCGGCTGCTGCGGCTGCGGGAGCGGCACCGGATCCGCGTCCGCAACTTCGGCATCGTGGCCGTGGCCGGCACGGACCCGCACGGCTCCGAGCCCGCGCTGTACCGGGCGCGCTGCCCGCACCTGCGGCCGCGGCCGTGGGACCGCGAGTTCCTGCTGGATTTGGGGTTTTTGGGGCGCTGGTGGCTGCTGGAGGCGGCGCTGCGGGACTGCGACATCAACGAGGAGGAGTTCGGGAAGCTGCCGGAGGCGCTGCGGAGGATGGAGCCCGGAGAGCTCCGCTCGGAGCGGAACGAGCGCCTGCACCGGGAGAGGCTCCGCGCCGTGGTGCTGAGCGAGGCCGACATCGGGGATGGGGAGGGGGAGGCGAAATCGCGGGGTTTGGGGTGAAAAGGGCTGGGTTTGGTAAAGGGTTTGGTGTGTGTTGAGTGTTTTGCGGGGGGTTGTAAAAAAAAAAGAAATAAAAACCAAAAAAAAAAACCCCAAAAAATCAATAAAACCTCCACCAAAAAAACCTCAAAAAACCCAAAAAAACCTCAAAAAAAAACCTCCTAAAAATCAATAAAACCTCCCCCCAAAAAAACTCAAAAAAACCCCCAAAAATCAATAAAACCTCCCCCCAAAAAAACTCAAAAAAACCCCCAAAAATCAATAAAACCTCCCCCCAAAAAACTCAAAAAAACTCAAAAAAAAACCCCTAAAAAAAATCAATAAAACCTCCCCCCAAAAAAACTCAAAAAAAACCCCAAAAATCAATAAAACCTCCCCCAAAAAACCCCCCCAAAAATCAATAAAACCTCCCCCCAAAAAACTCAAAAAAACCCCCAGAAATCAACAAAACCTCCCCCCAAAAAACCCTCAAAAAAAATCAATAAAACCTCCCCCCAAAAACCCTCAAAAAAAACTCAAAAAAAACCCCTCAAAAAATCAATAAAACCACCCCCCCCAAAAACCCTTAAAAAACTCAAAAAAAACCCCCAAAAATCAATAAAACTCCCCCCAAAAAACTCAAAAAAAAAAAAAAAAGAACCCCCAAAAATCAATAAAACCTTCCCCCAAAAAACCTCAAAAAAACCCCCCAAAAAACAAAAAACAAAAAAAACCCAAAAAAAAACCCAAAAAAACAAAACAAAAAAACCCCAAAAAAAACAAAAAAAAGAAAACACCAAAAAAACCACAATAAACCTCCCCCAAAAAACCAAAAAATCCCCAAAATTCTGGGGCTGGGCTTGAGCAACAGAGCAGTGGGTGGGAATTCTGAGTGTGGGATTTTGGGTGGGGTTTTGGGTGGTTTTGAGGGATTTTTTTGTGTTCATTGGGATTTTTTTGGGGTGTTTTTGAGGGATTTTTTAGGGTATTTATTGAGATTTTTGGGGTGTTTTTGAGGGTTTTTTTTTGGTGTTTATTGAGATTTTTTGGTGTTTATTGAGTTTTTTTTGGGTGTTTATTGAGATTTTTCTGCTGTTTATTGAGATTTTTTGGGGTGTTTTTGAGGGGTTTTTTTTGGTGTTTATTGAGATTTTTTGGGGTGTTTTTGAGGGGGGTTTTTTTTGGGGTGTTCATTGAGATTTTTTTTTGTTTTTTCAGGCATTTTTTTGGGTGTTTATTGAGATTTTTTGGGGTGTTTTCGAGGCATTTTTCTGGTGTTTATTGAGATTTTTTTGGGATGTTTTCAAGGCATTTTTTGTTGTTCATTCAGATTTTTTTTGGTGTTTATTCAGATTTTTTTTGGTGTTTATTGAGATTTTTTTGGTGTTTATTGACATTTTTTGGGGTGTTTTTGAGGGTTTTTTTTTTTGGGGTGGTTTATTGAGATTTTTTTTTGTTTTTTCAGGCATTTTTTTGGGTGTTTATTGAGATTTTTTGGGTGTTTTTAAGGGATTTTTTTGGTGTTTATGGAGATTTTTTGGGGTGTTTTCGAGGCATTTTTTTGGTGTTTATTGAGATTTTTTTGGGATGTTTTCAAGGCATTTTTTGGTGTTCATTCAGATTTTTTTTGGTGTTTATTGAGATTTTTTTGGTGTTTATTGAGATTTTTTTTGGGTGTTTTCGAGGGGGTTTTTTTTGGTGTTTATTGAGATTTTTTGGGGGTATTTTTGAGGCATTTTTTTTGGTATTTGGACCCTTTATTGAGATTTTTTTGGTGTTTATTTTTTGGTGTTGAGATTTTTTGGGGTGTTTTCAAGGCATTTTTTTGGTGTTTATTGAGATTTTTTGGGGTGTTTTTGAGGGGGTTTTTTTGGTGTTTATTGAGATTTTTTGGGTGTTTCTCGGCTGCGGTTTTGGGGTCCCCCCTCACAGCCCCAGCTCGGCCTTGGGGTGCAGCAGCCACCGCTCCTGGGGGTCCCCATCGCCCGGGGGGGGCTCGGGGCTGCTCTCGGGGGGGGGGTGTCCAGGGGCTCTCCCGGGGGGTCCCCGAGCTCCTCCAGGGGCTGGAACTGCAAATTCCTCCTTGGCCAGGCTGTGGAAACGGGGCGGGACACCCCCAAAATAAACCCCAAAATCGTCCCCAAAATCCCTAAAATCGTCCCCAAAAAAACCCCAAAATCCTCCCCAAAAAAAACCTCCAAATATCCTCCCCCATAAAACCCCCAAAATCCTCCCCAAAAAACCCCAAAATCATCCCCAAAAAACCCCAAAATCAACCCCAAAAAACCCCAAAATCCTTCCCAAAAAACCCCAAAATCCTCCCAGAAAAACCCGAAAATCGTCCCCAAAAAATCCCAAAATCATCCCAAAAAACCCCAAAATCATCCCCAAAAAAACTCCAAAATCCTCCTCAAAAAACCCCAAAATCACCCCCCAAAAAACCCCAAAATCCTCCCCAAAAAACCCAAAATCCTCCCAAAAAATCCCCAAAATCATCCCCAAAAAAACCCCAAAATCATCCCCAAAGAAAAAACCCCCCAAAAACCCCCAAAATCCTCCTTGGATACCCCAAAAATCCCTCCCCAGAAACCCCCAAAAAACCCCCAAAAATCCTCCCTAGAAACCCCAAAAATCCTCCCTAAATACCCCCAAAAAACCCCAAATTATCCCGGGAATTTTGGAATTTTTGTGGCGGGGATCCCAGAATTTGGGGGGGGGGGGGGGTCCCGGGATTTTGGGGGGGGTTCGGGGATATCCCGGGTTTGGGGGGGGTTCAGGTTTTTTGGGGGGATCTCCCGGATTTTTGGGGTTCGGGGATATCCCGGGTTTGGGGGGGTTCGGGTTTTTGGGGGGCGTCTCCCGGATTTTTGGGGGTTCGGGGATATCCCGGGTTTGGGGTGGATCCCGGGTTTTTGGGGCGTCTCCCGGATTTTTGGGGTTCGGGGATATCCCGGGTTTGTGGGGGGGTTCGGGTTTTTGGGGGGGGATCTCCCGGATTTTTTGGGGGGTGGGCGTGGTCCCGTTTGCTGCTCACAGTGACGTCGAAGGCGGAGCCGCGGAAGGGGCGGCGCGGGGGGGGGCGCGGCCGCGGCCGTGTAGGGGGGCGGGGAACGGCGGCGTCCAGAACCGATCCCGCTCCAGCTCCGGGACCCCCCCGTAGAGCTCGTCCACGGCCGAGCATGGACACCTGCGGAACCGGGGGGCACCGGGGGGGTACCTGGGGGTACCTGGGGGCACCTGGGGGTATCTCTGATACACCTGGGGGCACCGGGGGGGTACCTGGGGGCACCTGCGGAACCGGGGGGGCACCGGGGGGTACCTGGGGGTACCTGGGGTACCTGGGGGCACCTGGGGGTACCTGGGGGCACCTGGGGCACACCTGATACACCTGGGGGCACCTCTGATACACCTGCGGGCACCTGGGGGCACCTGGGGCACCCCTGATATACCTGGGGGGCATCCCTGATACACCTGGGGGCATCTGGGCACACCTGCGGGCACTGGGGGGCACCTGGGCACACCTGGGGGTACCCCTGACACACCTGGGGGCACCTGGGGGCATCCCTGATACACCTGGGGGCACCTGAGCACACCTGGGGGCACCCCTGATACACCTGGGGGAACCTGGGGGCACCCCTGATACACCTGAGCACACCTGGGGGCACCCCTGATACACCTGGGGGGGCACCAGGGGCACGTGGAGGGACCTGGGGTCACCTCACACACACCTGAGGGCACCTGGGGTCAGCTGGGGGCATCTGGGGTCACCTGAAGCCCCCCCCCACCACCACCACCACCTACCTGGGACCCCCCCTCACCCACCTGGGACCCCTCACCCACCTGGGACCCCCCTCCTCACCCACCTGTGCCCCCCGCCCTCACCTGGAAGTTGCGGTCGATCAGGGTGTTGGTCTCAAAGTCGTCGTCATCCTCCCCGAAGGGGTTAATGAGCTGCTCTGCCACCTGCAGGACAGGGCCAGGTGTGCCCAGGTGTGCCCAGGTGTACCCCAGGTGTGCCCAGGGGTGCCCCAGGTGTATTCCAGGTGTGCCCAGGTGTGCCCCAAGTGTACCCAGGTGTGCCCAGGTGTGCCCAGGTGTATCCCAGGTGTACCCAGGTGTACCCAGGTGTATCCCAGGTGTATCCCAGGTGTGCCCAGGTGTACCCAGGTGTGCCCAGGTGTGCCCAGGTGTATCCCAGGTGTGCCCAGGTGTGTCCAGGTGTGCCCCAGGTGTGCCCCAGGTGTACCCAGGTGTATTCCAGGTGTGCCCAGGTGTGCCCAGGGGTGCCCAGGTGTGCCCCCAGGTGTGCCCAGGGGTGCCCAGGTGTGCCCAGGTGTACCCAGGTGTATCCCAGGTGTACCCAGGTGTATCCCCCATGTGTGCCCAGGTGTACCCAGGTGTATCCCAGGTGTACCCAGGTGTACCCAGGTGTACCCAGGTGTATCCCAGGTGTACCCAGGTGTGCCCAGGGGTGCCCAGGTGTGCCCAGGTGTACCCCAGGTGTATCCCCCATGCCCCCAGGTGTACTCAGGTGTGCCCAGGGGTGCCCAGGTGTATCCCAGGTGTGCCCAGGTGTATCCCAGGTGTACCCAGGTGTACCCAGGTGTGCCCAGGTGTACCCCAGGTGTACCTTGAGCCAGCCCACGTAGAAGAAGAACTGCAGCAGGGTGAACACGGGCACGCCCAGGTCCAGCTCGTGCCCGGGGTAGCCCTGGGCGGGGTCCAGGAACTGCCGCCCCACCAGGCAGGTGAGGAAAAAGGTGTAAACGGCGATGGTCACCACCTGGGGGGACACGGGGACACAGGGGGACATTGTCAGCACCTGGGGGGACACAGGGGACATTGTCACCACCTGGGGAGGGGGACAACACCTGGCTGGGGTGAGTGGCGCCCGCTGTCACCCCCGGGTCGCCTCCATGGCATCCGCTGTCACCTCCACAGCTGTCCCCAGGTGTCCCTCAGATGTCCCCAGGTGTCCCCAGGTGTCCCTCAGGTGTCCTCAGCCCTGTCCCAGATGTGCCCTCACTCCCCCCAGGTGTCCCTTCACTGTCCCCCAGTCGCTCCCAGTTGCTCCCAGTGCCCACCTGTGTGTGCCCAGGTGTGCCCAGGTGTGCCCCAGGTGGTGCCCAGTCCCTCCCAGTCCCTCCCAGTGCTCACCTGTGTGTGCCCAGGTGTGCCCAGGTGTGCCCCAGGTGGTGCCCAGTCCCTCCCAGTCCCTCCCAGTGCCCACCTGTGTGTGCCCAGGTGTGCCCAGGTGTGCCCCAGGTGGTGCCCAGTCCCCCCCAGTGCTCCCAGTGCCCACCTGTGTGTGCCCAGGTGTGCCCAGGTGTGCCCCAGGTGGTGCCCAGTCCCTCCCAGTCCCTCCCAGTGCTCCCAGTGCCCACCTGTGTGTACCCAGGTGTGCCCAGGTGTGCCCCAGGTGGTGCCCAGTCCCTCCCAGTGCTCCCAGTGCCCACCTGTGTGTACACCAGGGGGACGCTGATCCAGTCGTAGTGGAACAGGAGGCTGCAGTGGGCCCGGAACCGGTTCAGCTCCTGGAAGGGGGGGGGTCCCAGGGGGCTCAGGGGGGTCCCAGGGGTCTCAGGGGGGTCCTGGGGGCTTCAGGGGGATCTCAGGAGAGGTTTTGGGGTGGTTCAGGGGTGGTTTTGGGGGGGTTCGGGGGGGTTCCAGGGGGTCTCAGGAGAGGTTTTGGGGTGGTTTTGGGGGGGTTCAGGGGGGTCCCAGGGGTGGTTTAGGGGATCCCAGGGGGGGCCCCAGGGCTCTGAGGGGTTTGGGGTGGTTCAGGGCGGGCTCAGAGGGGGTTTAGGGGGCCCCAGGAGGGTCCCGGGGGTACCTCCACGAGCAGCTTGAGCATGCAGGGGGGGTTTAGGGGTTCAGGGGGGGTTTAGGGGTGGTTTAGGGGGTCCCAGGGGCTCCCAGGTACCTCCATGAGCAGCTTGAGGGCACAGGGGGGGTTTGGGGGTGGTTTAGGGGGCTCAGGGGTGGTTTAGGGGTCTCAGAGGGGATTTGGGGGTGTCCCGGGGGTACCTCCATGAGCAGCTTGAGCGCGCAGGGGGGCTCAGGGGTGGTTTAGGGGGTTCAGGGGTGGTTTAGGGGGTCCCAGGGGGCTCCCAGGTACCTCCATGAGCAGCTTGAGCACACAGGGGGTGTTTGGGGGTGGTTTAGGGGGTTCAGGGGTGGTTTAGGGGGTCCCGGGGGTACCTCCATGAGCAGCTTGAGCGCGCAGTCGTCCCCGATGCGCCCCTCCTGCCGCGCCCCGCCCCGCCAGCGCCCCGAACCACACGCAGGGCACCCAGAACTTGTTGTAGGGAGAGCGCAGAGCCTCGAGCCGGCGCCGCTCCTCGCGCGTCAGGAACCCTGCGGGGACGTGACGTCATCGCCGGGCTGTGACGTCACCCTCTGAGCTGTGATGTCACCCTCTGAGCTGTGACGTCACCCACTGAGCAGTGATGTCACTCCTGAGCCATGACGTCATCCCTGAGCCGTGACATCACACCTGAGCTGTGACATCATTCCTGAGCCATGATGTCACCCTTGAGCCGTGACCTCGCCCACTGAGTGATGACATCACCCTTGAGTTGTGACATCACCCCCTGAGCCGTGACATCATCCCTGAGCTGTGACGTCACCCACTGACTCATGATGTCAACCCCAAGCTGTGATGTCATTCCTGAGCCATGACATCACCCACTGAGCTGTGACATCACCACTGAGCAATGACATCACTCCTGAGTCGTGACATCACCCGCTGAATGATGACGTCACCCTCCCCTGAGCTGTGACATCACCCCACGCTGCCCTGACATCCGGGTGACGTCACTGCTCGCTCATTGGCCCACACCACGTGGTCGGTGGTCACTCAGTGGTCACTCAGTGGTCACTCAGTGGTCACTCAGAGTCATTCAATGGTCACTCATAATCACTCACAATCACTCAGTGGTCACTCACCAGGCAGTCCCTGTGCCCATGGTCACTCCCTGGTCACTCACAGTCACTCAATGGTCACTCACAGTCACTCAATGGTCACTCACAATCACTCAATGATCACTCAATGGTCACTCCCTGGTCACTCAGTGGTCACTCAGTGGTCACTCACCGGCCTGTACCAGGTGGTCAGTGGTGGGAAATCGTTTGTACACGGGCGTGCTGACCGCCCTGAGCACCAGCAGCGCCGCCAGGCTCCCGTAGCGCAGCAGGCCCTGACACTCACAATGCTTACAGTAATCACTGAATGGTCACTCACAATCACTCAATGGTCACTCAGTGGTCACTCAGTGGTCACTCACCGGCCTGTACCAGGTGGTCAGTGGTAGGAAATTGTTTGTACACGGGCGTGCTGACCGCCCTGAGCACCAGCAGCGCCGCCAGGCTCCTGTAGCACAGCAGGCCCTGACACTCACAATACTCACAGTAATCACTCAATGGTCACTCAATGGTCACTCACAATCACTCAGTGGTCACTCAGTGGTCACTCAGTGGTCACTCACAATCACTCAGTGGTCACTCAGCGGTCACTCACCGGCCTGTACCAGGTGGTCAGTGGTGGGAAATCGTTTATACACAGGCGTGCTGACCGCCCTGAGCACCAGCAGCGCCGCCAGGCTCCCGTAGCGCAGCAGGCCCTGACACTCACAATGCTCACAATGACCCCTCTCTGGTCACTCAGTGGTCACTCACAATCACTCAGTGGTCACTCAATGGTCACTCACCGGCCTGTACCAGGTGGTCAGTGGTGGGAAATCGTTTGTACACGGGCGTGCTGACCGCCCTGAGCACCAGCAGCGCCGCCAGGCTCCCATAGCGCAGCAGGCCCTGACACCCACAATGGTCACAGTAACCCCTCCCTGGTCACTCAGTGGTCACTCAGTGGTCACTCAGCGGTCACTCACCGGCCTGTACCAGGTGGTCAGTGGTGGGAAATCGTTTGTACACGGGCGTGCTGACCGCCCTGAGCACCAGCAGCGCCGCCAGGCTCCTGTAGCACAGCAGGGCCTGACACTCACAATACTCACAGTAATCACTCAATGGTCACTCACAATCACACAATGGTCACTCAGTGGTCACTCAGTGGTCACTCACCGGCCTGTACCAGGTGGTCAGTGGTGGGAAATCTCTTATAGACCGGTGTGCTGACCGCCCTGAGCACCAGCAGCGCCGCCAGGCTCCCGTAGCGCAGCAGGCCCTGACACTCACAATGCTCACAGTAATCACTCAATGGTCACTCAGTGGTCACTCACAATCACTCAATGGTCACTCACAATCACTCAGTGGTCACTCACCGGCCTGTACCAGGTGGTCAGTGGTGGGAAATCTCTTGTACACGGGTGTGCTGACCGCCCTGAGCACCAGCAGCGCCGCCAGGCTCCCGTAGCGCAGCAGGCCCTGACACCCACAATGCTCACAATAACCCCTCCCTGGTCACTCAGTGGTCACTCACAATCACTCAGTGGTCACTCACAATCACTCCCTGGTCACTCCCTGGTCACTCACCGGCCTGTACCAGGTGGTCAGTGGTGGGGAATCTCTTATAGACCGGCGTGCTGACCGCTCTGAGCACCAGCAGCGCCGCCAGGCTCCTGTAGCACAGCAGGCCCTGATACCCACAATGGCCACAATAACCCCTCCCTGGTCACTCAGTGGTCACTCAGTGGTCACTCAGTGGTCACTCACCGGCCTGTACCAGGTGGTCAGTGGTGGGAAATCTCTTGTACACGGGCGTGCTGACCGCCCTGAGCACCAGCAGCGCCGCCAGGCTCCCGTAGCGCAGCAGCGTCCGGCGCAGGAGCCGCCCCCCGCGCGTCCGAGCCCCTCACGCTGCTGCCCACGGCCACCATGAGCCCGTCCGGGGCCGGCACCGTCCGGAACTGCCCCCACCAGCGCTCCAGCACCAGCGCCACGTAAAAACCTGCGGGGAATGGGGGAATGGGGAATGGGGGAATGGGCAGAGAAAGGGGAGGGGCACTGGGGGTACTGGGAGTGGCACTGGGAGAATTGGGAGGGGTAATGGGTGGGGTACTGGGGGTACTGGGACAACTGGGAGGGTACTGGGAAGACAGGGAGCACTGAGAGGGGCACTGGGAGGGGAATTGGGGGCACTGGGAGAACTGGGAGCACTGGGCGGAGGCACTGGGAGCATTGGGAGGGACACTGGGGGGAATGTGGAAGTTGTGGGGGACCCCGAGGGTCCCGAGGGGATGGTTCTGGGGGTCCCGAGGGGATGGTTCTGGGGGTCCCGGGGGTGGTTCTGGGGGTCCCAGGGGTTCTGGGGGTGGTCCTGGGGGTCCCAGGGGGGGGTCCCAGGGGGGGTCCCGGGGTGGTCCCGGCTCTCACCGAGCACGAAGGACACGGGGATCAGCTCGGCCGATTTGTCGCAGTACAGCACCAGCTTCTCAAAGAGGCGCCGCTGCTCCTCGGACAGCAGGAACCTGGCGGGACGCCGGCCGTGTCACCGCCCTGTCCCTGCCCTGTCCCTGTCCTGTCCCCTACACGTCCCCATGTCCCTGCCGTGTCCCTGTGCCCCTCCGTGTCCCGGTGTCCCCGCTCCCCGCCATTGTCTCCCATATCTCAGTGTCCCCGTGTCACCCCCCCTGTCCCGCTGCCCCCTGTCCCAGTGTCCTTCCTGTCCCACTGTCCCCGTGGTGTCCTTGTGTCCCCATATCCCCCCTATCCTGCTGTCCCCACCTGTCCCCCGGTGCCCATTGTCCCCCCACTGTCCCAATGTCCCGGTGTCCCCCCGGTGTCCCCCCCGGTGTCACCGGTAGGCCAGGCTGAGCCCCAGGTAGGCGGTGAGGAAGAGGAGCAGCTCCCGGTAGAGCAGTTTGTAGATGCTCCCGCGCCACAGCAGCAGCAGCCGCGAGAAGCCCCCGAAGCGCGCGGTGGCCACGCGGGACGTGTAGGTGACGGTCATGGGGACGGACGGACGGACAGACGGACACCTGAGGGACACCTGAGGGACACCTGAGGGACACCTGAGGGACACAGGGCACGTGACGGTGACGGTCATGGGGACAGACGGACAGACGGACACCTGAGGGACACAGGGACGTGTAGGTGACGGTCATGGGGACAGACGGACGGACAGACGGACACCTGAGGGACACCTGAGGGACACCTGAGGGACACAGGCACGTGTAGGTGACGGTCATGGGGACAGACGGACGGACAGACACCTGAGGGACACCTGAGGGACACAGGGACACCTGAGGGACACCTGAGGGACACAGGGCACGTGTAGGTGACGGTCATGGGGACGGACAGACAGACGGACACCTGAGGGACACCTGAGGGACACAGGGACGTGTAGGTGACAGTCATGGGGACGGACAGACAGATGGACACCTGAGGGACACCTGAGGGACACAGGGCACGTGTAGGTGACGGTCATGGGGACGGACGGACGGACGGACACCTGAGGGACACAGGGACGTGTAGGTGACGGTCATGGGGACGGACGGACGGACAGACGGACACCTGAGGGACACAGGGACGTGTAGGTGACAGTCATGGGGACAGACGGACGGACAGACACCTGAGGGACACCTGAGGGACACAGGGCACATGTAGGTGACGGTCATGGGGACGGACGGACGGACGGACACCTGAGGGACACAGGGACGTGTAGGTGACAGTCATGGGGATGGATGGACGGACGGACGGACGCCTGAGGGACACCTGAGGGACACAGGGACACCTGAGGGATGCAGGGACGCCTGAGGGACACAGGGCACGTGTAGGTGACGGTCATGGGGACAGACGGACAGACGGACACCTGTGGGACAAAGCGGGACACCGGGGGACACCGGGGACCACCCCCCACTCCCTCCCTTTGTGTCCCTCCCTTTGTGTCCCCCCTCACCTGCAGCCACCGCTGGTCCGAGCTCCGTGGTCACTCCTGGCCTGAGCTCTGCGGTCACTCCTGGCCTGAGCTCTGCGGTCACCGCCCCGGTCCCGGTTCTGTGGTCACCGCCCTGGTCTGAGCTCCGTGACCAACCCTGGTCCGGTTCCTGTGGTCACCACCGATCCCAGTTCCGTGGTCACTCCCGGTCCGAGCTCTGTGGTCACTCCCGGTCTGTGTGACCCTGCCCCGGTCCGGGTTCTGTGACCACCGGGGCTCCGAGCTCTGCGGTCACTCCCGGTCCTGCTTCGGTGCTCACCGGGGCTCCGGGGCTCTGTGACCAATCCGGCTCCGTGTCCCGTGGTCACCCCCGGTCCCGGTCTCTGTGGTCACCCCCAGTCCGGTTTCTGTGGCCTACCCCGGTCCCGGTTTCTGTGACCACCCCCGGTCCGAGCTCTGCGGTCACCGCCCCAGTCCCGGTCCGGTCCCGGTGCCTCCGCCCCGCTCCAGCCCTTAAATGGCGGCGGGGCCGGGCCAGCCCGCGGGGGGCGACCCCGAGGGGACATTGGGGAGGGGACACGGGGACAGAGCGGGGGGGTCCCGCTCCGGCCCCCCGGGAGCGGCCGCGCCGGTCGGGCCGGTCCCGAACGGCCCCCGAGGCTGTGGGGGGGTTAATTTGGGGATGGGGGGGGTGGGAGTTTTAAAGGTCCGGGGGGGTTAATTTGGGCTCGGGGGGGTTAATTTGGGACTGAGGATGTTAATTTGGGCTGGGGGGGGTTAATTTGGGCCCCCCCGCGGCTCTGGCTCGGTCCCGGTGGCCTCGGGCCAGCACCGGGGACAGATCCCAGCAGGGGCGGGGGGGGGCAAAGGGACAGGACATGGGCGGGGGGGGGGGTGGCGGCCGTGGGGGACCCCCCCCAAAACATCCCCGCACCCCCTTTGAGCCCCCCCCGGGATCCCGAACCCCTCTGGGACCCCCAAATCCCCCCCAGGACCCCCAAATCCTCCCCGGGACCCCCAAATCCTCCCCGGGACCCCCAAATCCTCCCCAGGACCCCCCCCTTAATCCGCCGTTAATGAGGCGCCCCCGGGGCCGCGGGCTCGGGGCCAGCGGCGCTGACGTCACCGCCCCCAAAATCCGTCCGGACCCCCCCCAAATTCACCCCAGGACCCCCCCAAATTCACCCCAGGACCCCCCCAAATTCATCCGGACCCTCCCCAAATCTGTTCAGAGACCCCCGAATCCGGCCGGAACCCCCTAAAATCCATCCGGAGCTCTCCCAAAATCCATCTGGAACTCCCAAATTCACCCCAGGACCCCCCCCAAAATCTGTCCCGAGCCCCCCGAATCTCTCCGGACCCCCCTAAATCCATCAGGATCCCCTCAAAATCCATCTGGACCCCCCCAAATCCATCCGGACCCCCGCAAATTCATCTGGACCCCCTTAAAATCAATCTGGACTGCCCCAAATTCATCCGGACCCCCCCAAAATCCATCCGGACCTCCCCAAATTCATCTGGAACCCCCCAAATCCATCAGGATCCCCTCAAAATCCATCAGGATCCCCCCCAAATCCATCCGGACCCCCCCCAAATTCATCGGGAACCCCCCAAATTCATCCGAACCTCCCCAAAATCCATGTGGACCCTCCCAAATTTATCCAGACTCCCTCAAATTCATCCGGACCCCCCCCAAATCCATCCGGACCCCCCCCAAATTCATCGGGAACCCCCAAATTCATCCAGACCTCCCCAAAATCCATGTGGAGCCCCCCAAATTTATCCAGACTCCCTCAAATCCATCCGAACCCCCCCAAATCCATCAGGACCCCCCCAAACTCATTTTGCTTCTCAAATTTATTATTTACACGCCCCCCCCTCTCCGGGAGGGGGTCCCACATCCGACCCCCCCTCCCCAAATTTCAGGGGGGGGGGGGGGAGGGGGTGCACACAGCCCCGGTGGGGGGGAGAGGGGACAGGGCAGAACCGCCCCCCCCCCTCCCCAAAATTGGGGGGGGGGGGCATAAATAGGGGCTGTGCCCCCCCCCCCCAAACCCCCAGAATGAGGGGGGGGGGGGGTTTGGGGTCGTTTTTGGGGGTCCCGGGGGGGTTATTTGGGGCTGGGGGGTTGGTAGGGGTCCAGCAGGAGGGAGCTGAAGGTGTTGACCTTGTCCCCCCCCCGCACCTCGTGGGGCAGCAGCGGCAGCTTCACGATGTGGAAATCCTCGTACAGGTCCTCCATCTGCGGGGGGGGGGGGCGATGGGACCCCCAAAATCCCACCCTGAGACCCCCCCGGTTTGAAATTCCCCGCCCCCCATCCCGGTCCTGGCTCCTCCCTTAACGTGGGTGGGGCAAACCCCATAAAAACCCCAAAAAAAACGCAATAAAAACCCCAAAAACCCCCAAAATCCACCCCGGGTCCCCTCCCCAGCTACTTGCCCTAAACCCCTTTTTAACCCCATAAATCCTTTTTTAACCCCATAAATCCCTTTTTAACCCCTTTCTAACTCCCAGGTGTGTTTTACCTGGCCCAGGTACTTGCCCTAAACCCCTTTTAACCCCTCAAACCCCTTTTTAACCCCTTTCAATCCCTTTTGAACCCCCCCCAGCTGTGTTTACCTGGCTCAGGTACTCACCCTAAACCCCTTTTTAATCCCTTAAACCCTTTAACCCCATAAACCCCTTTTTAACCTCTTTTTAGCCCCCCAGGTGCATTTACCTGATCCAGGTACTTGCCCTAAACCCCTTTTTAACCCCTTAAACCCCTTTTTAAGCTCCCCAGATGAGCTGACCCGGTCCAGGTACTTGCCCTAAACCCCTTTTTAAACCCCATAAATCCCTTTTTAACCCCTTTTTAGCCCCCCAGCTGTGTTTACCTGGCCCAGATACTCACTCTAAACCCCTTTTTAGCCCCCCAGGTGTGTTAACCTGGCCCAGATACTTGCCCTAAACCCCCTTTTAACCCCTTTCAATCCCTTTTTAGACCCCCAGCTGTGTTTACCTGGCCCAGGTACTTGCCCTAAACCCCTTTTAACCCCTTTCAATCCCTTTTGAACCCCTCCCAGCTGTGTTTACCTGGCCCAGGTACTCACCCTAAACCCCTTTTTAACCCCTCAAACCCCCTTTTTAACCCCTTTCCATCCCTTTCTAGCCCCCCCGGGTGCGTTTTTACCTGGCCCAGGTACTCACCCTAAATCCCTTTTTAACCCCTCAAACCCCTTTTTAACCCCTTTCCATCCCTTTCTAGCCCCCCCAGGTGCGTTTTACCTGGTCCAGGTACTTGGCCTGGATCTTGTGGCGCGCCTCGCACATGCGGCAGGGCCGCAGCGGGTCGGGGAACACGAGCTGGTTCACCACGATGTTGTGGGTGTCGATGCGGCACTTGGCCAGCTCCTGGATCAGCCTCTCCGTCTCGTAGAGCGACAGGAACTCGGCGATGCACACGCAGATGAACGTGGTCTGCTCCTGAGGGGACAGTGGGGACATTGGGGACAGCGTTGGGGACACCATTGGGGTCATTGGGGACAGCATTTGGGACAGCAGGGATAGCATTGACACAGGGACAGAGTGACAGGAACTCGGCGATGCACACGCAGATGAACGTGGTCTGCTCCTGGGGGACAGTGGGGACATTGGGGACAGCGTTGGGGACAGTGGGGACATCATTGGGGACAGCAGGGATAGCATTGGGGACAGCAGGGATAGCATTGACACAGTGACAGGAACTCGGCGATGCACACGCAGATGAACGTGGTCTGCTCCTGGGGGACATTGGGGACAGGGTTGGGGACAGTGGGGACATCACTGGGGACAGCACTGGGGTCATTGGGGACAGCATTTGGGACAGCAGGGACAGCAGTGACACAGTGACAGGAACTCGGCGATGCACACGCAGATGAACGTGGTCTGCTCCTGGGAGGACATTGGGGACACCATTGGGGACATTGGGGACAGCATTGGGGACATTGGGGACATCATTGGGGACAGCGGGGACAGCAGGGACAGCATTGGCATAAGGAAACAGGGACAGGAACTCGGCGATGCACACGCAGATGAACGTGGTCTGCTCCTG